GCCAAGAGAGTGGTAGTGGCTGTCTGCACGGGCCAGCTATGCCTGGAATAAGCAATGCAGCAGCGTAAACAAGAAAGACTGCCTCAGACTGTAAGGTGAGAACCGACTCCTCAAAGCTGTCATAAATGTAAGAAAACAGGGTGGATGGCGGGGAGAGAAAAATTAAGAGTCCACCCTCCTTTTTCCCTTCTTTGCTTTAGAATTTGGAGGCAAGAACGTTTTATTTTTCTTTTTATTCAGTTAACTAAAACCTGTTTACTCAGTCTGTCTGGTCTCGTCTCTCCTAGATAGCCGATACCATGCATACACAACCACGTGGCTCGGATACGGGGACTGTTTGCCTTCTCTGGCTGTTAGGGCCTTCACTTAGGAACATAAGCATTCATGTCCCAATACACGAAACTCCTCATGGTTTATTCCCTCTATCTTGGAGGCCTCCTCTGCTTCTGTTATTTCCCAAAGTTCCCAGCTTATGTGACTTCCAAGATGCGGTCCATACACCATTCCTCCATGAGCTTTTTCCTGACCACCTGCGGGTCAGGGATGGAAAATCTGAGCAGTCTAGACAGGTAATTCTCACTTCAACACCTGTGCTATCTTACGTCAGGGTAACCAGGACAATACACCTGTGCTGTCTTACGTCAGCGTGCCCAGGACAATTCTCTTTCTCTACTAACCACTGCCTTATGTGTTTCTGAATGCACTAAATCCAGTAGCTTTCATTTGAGAGATACAGTTAGCCTGCAGAACGCAACTGTATGTGAGGTCAGAAGATGGCATCCAAATCCTGGCGTCAGTGCATGCTGCAGACCAGTCCATCCTTTACCAAACCAGCCTCAGTTTACGCCTCTGGAAAAGAAAGAGTACTCTGGCAGCCACGAAGAGGTCTGCTCAGATTTCTCTTCAAGAAAGTTTGTGTTGGGGCTGGAGAGATGACTGTGTAGTTACAAGCGCTGGCTGTTCTTCCAGAGGACCCAGGTTCAATTCCCCAGCCACCACATGGCAGCTCACAGGAGATTAAGCATCTCCATAGGCAACTGCACAAATACATGCATATACACGTAATTAAGAATAAAACCGTGGGTTGGCGAGATGGCTCAGAGGTCAAGAGCACAGTCTGTTCTTCCAGAGGTCCTGAGTTCAAGTCCCAGCAACCACATGGTGGCTCATAACAATCTGTAATGAGATCTAGTGCCCTCTTCTGGCCTACAGGTGTACATGCTGGTAGAATGCTGTATATATAACAAATAAATAAACCTTTTAAAAATAAATAAATAAATAAATAAATAAAATCTTAAAAAAGAATGTAAGAAAGTTTGTGCTGGGGATGTAGCTAAGTTGTAGGGTGGTCATCTAGCATGCATAAGACTCTGGGTTTGATCCCAGTACCATGAAAATAGACAAATAAATAAGTAGGTAGGTAGACAGACAGACAGATACAAGAAAAAGAGACTGGGGATACAGTTCAGCAGTAGAGCGCTTGTCTAGTATGGGCAAAGCACTGAGTTCAATCTAGTGCTTACTTACGCTCACATAAATAAGTAAAAACAGCAAGCAAATGAGGCTAACAGCAAGCGGAGTGTCCACCACTAAGGTTCACATCGTGAGCCTGCACTTCCCAGGCAATCCTCGCTCCAGAGTTTCCATTAGAGTGGCTTCCCTTCAGTCCAGGGTTCTCCCTGCCTTCAATCCCATTCCTTCTTAAGTCTAGCATGAGCACCTGTTCTTGCCTCTCACACTCGACTCCATCAGGGTGTCTGCCTCCTGGAGAATCGAAAGGGACATTGAAAGATGGCTAATCTACCTCCTGTATGTGCACACCATTCATACACCACTGTACTTCCCTCATGTGCACACCGTCAACACACACCACTATACCTCCCTCATGTGCACACCATCACACACCACTGTACCTCCCTCATGTGCACACCATCAACACACACCACTGTACCTCCCTCATGTGCACACCGTCAACACACACACACCACTGTACCTCCCTCATGTGCACACCATCAACACATACCACTGTACCTCCCTCATGTGCACACCAACAACACACACACACCACTGT